CATTCCTAGCAGTTCCCATGCAGATTCATGAGTGGACAATGCAAACGTTCCTGGGTCCTGTGGGAACAGTTCTTAAATTGATCATCTTAAACCTTAAGGGCTGTTGAACCTTGTAACCTTGTAATTCAGTGGGGTATAGCGCCAGCAGTAGTGTGATGGGAACAAGAATGCAGTATAAGTTCAATTGCACAAGCACAAGAATTCAGAAATCGTTAGGACATCAGGAGATTTCGATGGATAGCTTTAAAAGTCCCTGGGAAATAGGGGAACTCCAACAAATCTAAGCAGTTATCGATTAATATGAAAATCATAAATCCCTCAGTGAATACCTGGTGCTGGTCAAAGCAATGCATTTTGCCAGAGGGTAGGATCATCCAGAGCACAAAGGATTGCTGTTATGCCAAGCTCAAGGTACAAGCCTGCTTGCTGGGCCTTAGCTCTGAGAAACAAGGTGTCTCCAAATATTGACAGTCTCACCTGTCATTGTTAGAGGCAGGCCTGGTGATGGCCAACTGTTAGTTTAGGTTTGATTTGGGGATGAAGTGAGGCACTGGTAAATCACCGAATAGTTACCAAAGTTTACTTAGCCCTAAACATAGCGAGGATTGGCAATAAGGATATAGTGGCACTTAGCTTCTATACATATGGCCCACCTTTTCTCTATGTGAAAATGGGTGTGGTCAGCAAGGCACAGTGTGTTAGTTCATCTGGTCTTCAGACATCCACCAAGTCAGAGGGTCCCCAACTCCCCATGTGGGTGGAACTTACTGTACCCCTAGGTGACCTAGCTTCATCAGATCCTAGACTGGCTTTGTCACTTCTTAGGAAAAACCAATCGCGGTTAGGGGGAAAGCGGAAGCCAAGGAGAAACAATCCTGGTAGAGAGCAGTCTTGTCACACGTAAAATAAACATCCATATTTTGAACATAGGCATAGGGTGGCCTAAGGAGGGGGAAAGACCTTGGAAAATGGGAGAGCACAACATTTAACAAGGATAGCTGTCCAAATTTTTTAAAAGGGAAAGAATAAAGTCTGCAAACTCTAGGTCAGTGATTTCGACTTGATCATTAAAGAGATGTTGTTAAATACCTGGAGGGAAATGGGCATTACAAAGAGACAGCATGGCTGCATCAAGAATAAGACATGCAAGATGAACCTCATTTCCTTTCTTGAAAACAGAATTAAGCTTGTAGATGAGGGAAATGTTATAGATATAATTTACACAGATTTTGATAGAGTTTAACAAGGGACTGGTCAGTGGGCTCCACCTGGAGCTTGGGACGTGCTCCATCTGCTCTACCTGCTAACCATGGAGCCAGATGGAGGCTTGGGGTTCCGGCTCAGGCACCACGAGCCTCACCCCAATCCAGGACAGTTCAAGTGCTTACTGTATGGTGACAAAAAGCCCTCTAATCAGCAGCTAAGCCAGAACTGCATATGAATACCAAAGGCACCCACAGACAAACCTTCCCTTTCCTCCACGGGGGCCAGTTTCCAGTGCAGAGGAAGAAAGGCTGTTAGCTTCTGGGAAAGGGAGCCCTTCCCCAGCTGGTCGTCAAGGAGCCTCAGATACATGGCACCTTTAGTTTCCTGTGTCTCTGTTGTGTTTATTTTTCCCTGATCCTAGATAAATGAGTATCCCAGAGAGAAGGACCTTGTGGTTTTCAAAAAGTGACAAGATCCACCAGAGGTCAGCACTGGAGGTCACAGAAGATCTGCTGCAGCTGCAGCAGCCAAGCCCAGTGAGTCACTGAAGCCCTGAGCATCACCTGTCTGACTTAGCCCAACGGTGGACTGACGCAGCAGCTGAGACACCACATCAGGCAAGCAAGGAAATAACTCCTCCTCCTGTCACACCCAGAAGAGAAATTGGTGGGAGGAAAACTGTGCAGCTACTACTTTAAATCTGAGTGTAGGGGGCAGAGTATGCCCTGGGACAGAGGGATGCCTTTATACTTTTGTCCTTATTATAATCTCTCTGTCCTTACTGTAATTTCTCAGTAAAAATCTTAGCAGATATAAACTGGTTATTTGTGACATCAAGGAGACATCAACTGATCAAAATTATACTGGGGCATTAATCAGTGGTTAGATGATGTTGGGGAGATGTTTAACTGCGTGAATGAAATGGATGAGGCCCTGGTATGAGTTATTAGAGAACAATTCCACAGTCCCTCGGGTTACCCCTAAGGCTGTCAGGGGTGGAGCATTAGTTGAGCTCCGAGGCCCTGATCCTCCAGAGCCAGTGTGGGCTGGAAGTCAGTTCAGGCCTGTCTCTGTTTCTATCTGGTCTGTCTGTCTATACACAAATCTATACATACAGCGTCCCAAAAGTTTTAATGTAGTTTTAAGCTTTGAATAACTTCAGATGTATATGTGCTACACACTTACCAAAAAAAATCTGAAATTTTAATTATTAAAATTTCTTTTACACTTAGTTTTGTGAATTTTGAATAATAACCTTTTACTTTTAACAAGCCAAGGCACCCTGACATCATGCATCACATTTTCAACAGGTTCTGGATGTCACTTTATTAAACAAGTGGACTGGCAGAGGAGGCTAAGGCCCTCTTGCTCAGCCACCTCAGACACTGGATCTTGGACTTCTTGTGCGATCATAGCAAAACTGTTGTGTATACATCAAAACCTCATTCTTTAAACGCTCTTGAGGGTAGGATCACAAATGCAATCCTTTTAGTCACTGAGCAGCAGCTGATGAAAGTTAAAAAGTCTAAAAATTGACTAGTGATATATAACACAAGATAGTGTTTATGTTAAATTTTAATAGGAAACATCAATATTTTTAAACATTTAAATAATTAACCTTTCAAATGATTTTATGAGTCTATAGCATATATACTTCTGAAGTTCTTAAAGCTTAAAACTGCACTAAGACTTTTGGTACAATATACATATGTATATGCTACAAAGGTATCTCATACTCCTTTTATACAGAAGTTAGAGAAATATGTATTACACATTTAATACAGTCACGTGGACTCAGACCTGATTGGATGGCTGGAGTCAAAAAATAATTGTTAAGAATTCAATGTCACCATGCCAGAAGGTATCTCATGGAGTAACCCAAGGATCTATAATTTGCCTTGCACTGTATAACATTTTTATCTATGACTTGACAAAGGCTTGGATGGCCTGCTTATCAAATTTGCAAATGGCATCAAGTGGGGATAGCTAATACAGCGCACACCGGAGTCAAGATTCAAAAGCATCTTGACAGCCAACTGTATTACACTGAAACTAATATATTAAATTCAATAGGCATAAATGTAAAAGCCTTACACTTAGGTATAAAAGAATCAGCTTCCCAAATATAAAATGGAGGAGGTATGGCTAAGTAGCAATTGTTCTGAGAAATATCTGGGGAGTGTTAGCAGCCTGCAAGCTCAATGAGTCTGCAGCATGACAGAGCAATTAAAAACCCTAATGTCATTGCAGGACCTGTTAGAAAAGGCACAGCTTCTAGGAGGTAGGAGGTGATAGTCCTCCCACTGCATTCTGCCCTCCTCAGACCTTGTCTGGAGGACTAAGTTCAGCTGTGTGTACCATGGGTTAAGAAGGATATTGCTAATTTGGAGAATGTCCACAGGAAGGCAACCAGGATAGTGAAGGTCCTTGAGTCTACGTCACATGAAGACTGGCTGAAGGAAACAGGCATGTGAGGAACCCAGAGGAGAGGAACTAGAGAGGGATATGAGAGACATCTGCGATCACTGTGGAAGTCACTGTAGAGGGCTCTCATATAGAGGAGGTATGAGACTAGTTCTATATGGCCCCAGAAGGCAAAAATCAAGAACAATGTGTAGAAGTTGCAAAGAAGCAAAGTGAGGCTTAATGTTAGGACCAAAGTAGAATGGGCCGCTTCCAGGGGTGGTGGGCTCCTCCTCCCTACAGATCTTCAGGCAGAGGTGAGATGACCACTTGTCAGGAAGATCAAAGGAGAAAGTCCTAGGCTGGACTAGATGATCACTGAGGTGTCTGCTAATAAATTCTGTCGCTTTCTCATTCATCACTAGCTTTGTGACCTTGAGGTAAGTCATTTAACTTCTATGACCCTCAGTTTGCTCATCTGTAAAATGGGGATGATTCTATCACTAACAGTTATCTCACAGGGTTGTGGTTAAGAAAGTGTTTTGTAAATTCTCAAGTTCTATATCCAGTCCCCAAAGTCCTAGTGCAGCTTTGAGCTATGATGGCTTCTTAGTCTAACATAGGCATCTGATGGGGATCACTGGGATAGCACATGTAAAGTGCTGCATATAAATATCAGTAATTATTATTATGAGTATTGTGTTTATCCACAGAATAGCCATGGATAGATTTTCTAAGTTTCCATATATAGTCTTGTTTTATCCTTGACTAATAAATAAAAGATTCACTCATTTTCCAAGGTAAATTCTTAGCTTTTTATAAGATATCTTCTAGATGCGGGTATTATGACAGATAATATACTGTATCTGTCCACATAAAAATATGTTGTGCTGTCAAACCCACAGTGCACAAGCAGGCCAGAAATCCTGGATGTAGAAAGACTGTGGAAGGATATCAGATTTGTGTTCATAGAAGACTAACTTCTATTCCTAGAACATTAAAAATTTCTCACAATGCAAAAAAGAAAGCTATAATCATTTCAAGGAAATACGAGGAAAACAGGTCCAATGGTCAATCCTACCTATGAAATAGGAAGATGATACACTTACATATATTTACTGTCTTAGTATGATGCCCATACTTTCAAATTTTAACCTGTCATAAAAACATAAAAACAAATGAGGAAGCACATAGTCTCCTCAAAATCATTCTTTAGGGAGACACTTCAGTGCATTCAGAAATGTTAAAGAAAAAATGCTTTTAAAAATGATCAGGTTGAGCATTTTCAGAACTACTACAAGTATCTGAAGCAGCTAACCATTTCAGAATGAGTACTTTCCCTTTATGACTCAATTACATTAAAGTTTTGTTACATACTAGTTTATACTTACAAGGAATGTCCCGGTAGCCATTTTCTAAAGCATGGAAGTAGCTCACAAATTCTGGAACGGGGATTTTGAACATGTCCATCAAACCAGTGTCTTGAAACAAGGTATACATAGTCTAAGAATAAATTCAAACAATTTTCATTTTAAGGATCAGAATTCCTAAGCTTTATAACTAGTTATGGCTCATTTAAAGACATGTACTTTTTAGTTTTCACTTAGAAATAGCAATGTTACTCTGCTTACTAGATCATTAAACTGAGTCAGTGCTTCACTAAAACCTCCCCTTCCCCAATTTTGTCATCTTGGAAGACTACAAAAATTATTTTAAAAAATCAGAGGGTACCATCTACAAAGAAATTGGGAATATGTAAACCCTAAGTCACTCTTTGAGTTGCATGGGAACCTCTCAATCAACTAGTCCAATTTCTTTACTTTACAAATGAGGAAACTGAGAGGATACATGACTTGTCCAAGGTCATGCAACTAGTTGGCTAGTGGCACAGTCATTTGATAAAGCCTTGAATGACTATATAAACTGCAATATTGAATATATCATATAAACTGGAGAGGAGAGAGAGGCAGGTTTTGGAGGGATGCAAACATGTGATTTAATCAATAGAGAGAACCATTCAAAAGAATTCAGCTTGACCACCTAAACAGAAAAGACCAAGCAGAAGAAGGTCTACGGCTCAGATCATGACATGCATTTGTATGGATGACAGAGAGAACTTATCTGTCAGTGTGTTTATCAGTGTGTAGATCATGAAGAGAGACAAACTGGGCCCAAAGTTGAGCAAGAGATGAGTGAGGTGGATTGCTTTTGGGAAACTGAAAAGCTCTTTCAAGGAGCCTACACTTTTTCTAAAAACAAAAGATCCACCTTTTTAACACTAAGTGAGGCTGTATGGCAGCAAGAAATGGAATATGACAGCCTTGAAAAAATGGAGAATATTACCTGGAGGCAATGAAGAGATGTATGGAACTTTGATGAAGAAGTAGATAAAATATTTTATGAAAGAAATGTATGATTGGAAAAGAAGATGGGGTAGCTCCCTGGACAGTCAGGGCATCTTCAGGAGAAAGTGAAAAGGGCCTCCTGAAGGCTGGGTAGACTCACTTGGTTGAACTTACAGGAGGGCACAGAGAAGCTAGGTTAGAATCTATGTTACTAGAGAGCACATTGATACTGATGATACCACAGGTCCATAAGAGTTCCCAGTGAAGAAACTCATGCTACTAACGTAGATCAGCAATGGTTCTGTGACTTTAAGTCTTATCAGAGAGAGTTTTCTAGGGCACTGTCACTGAGAGGCTACCTAACTTGTCTAGGGCCACCCTGCCCAGTATATGTCAGAGAAGGGAGTTGAATCCACCTGATTTTGAGGCTAAGTATTTATCCAATATGCCATGTTATTTCTTTCTAGAGAGAAAGGTAAGAGAATTTTGAAAATTAGAAAATTCCCTGTTTCTCAACACAATCAATCTATCTAGCTTTATATCTATCTATATTTAATAAGCAAAAACTAAATTAGCCTTTGGCCAGCTTTTCAAAAGCATTTCATCTTTGGAATGAGACCAAAGGGAAAATGTCTGCCTGAAATACAGTATTTGTAAATGCTAATGATTTCATCAAAATGTTAAAAAAGAATGAGAGGAGGAAGAGAGAAATTAACTAATAATCTCATTCATTGGGTACGGATTTCTTTTCTTTTTTTTTTTTTTAAAGAATAGCATAGTTAGTCTTACCTGCAACTGCTTTGGATTATATTTTTAAACAAATTCATATGAAGTTTATAAAATGTTTATAGGTGGGAAAAGGTACATACAATGGAATAAATTAATAATCTGGACTTGAACTAAAGAGGGAACCCACTATGATAGAAACCACTAGGCAAAGAACCAAGAGACCTTGGTTCTTAGGTAGGTTCTGCCACTAAACAGACGCCTGAACACTGATAGAGTTCAGCATCCCCCTCTGTACAATGAGCTGGTTGGACAGAGGGCCATTAAGGTGTCCTTCTACATCTAACAATTCATGATTATTATGTTTAACTTCTCAACAAGAACAGCATAAAAGTGGAAAGAGATGCCTTTGAAGGTAATGAATTTCCCATCTCTGGAGGTTTTCAATTGGAGGCTGAAAGATTCCATATTGGGGACATTTAAAGAGGATTCCTGCTTCAGGTATGGGTTTGAATTAGATGTTCTCAATGGTCCCTCGCAGCTCTAAAGGGATATATTCTCTGGTATAATGATATCCTTTAAGACATACAACTGTATTCCTTAAAATCTAGCAGAATGAAGCTTAGGTTCAATATCCTTATAATCTTTCCATATTTATAAATAAAATTATAAAGAGACAGAAACTATTTTTAAAAATGAGCAATTCCCTCATCAGGAAAATGAACATCCATTACCAAAAGGAGACAAAAATTATTCACTATTTTCACTTCTTTTGTATTTCATATTTATTTTTGTATACTTACATTGTATTTTAAATGAATGTGGAAATTTTTCTACTTTATCTTGGTGGAGTGTCAACAAGCTATTTCATGACACATGAAAAGTAACAACTAGATAAAATGGTTATCAACTACAGCAACGTGACAGAAGATGTCTTTTTAGATTTTGTTCTACTTCCTGAGAATAGAGATAAAAGTGAAGAACAAAAACCATCCTCTCACAGACAACCTGCTTCTGTTAAAATAAAATAACAACTTAAGTTTCCTATTCAATACCAATGAATAGTGATACCAAAAGATACCAGGTAATGATAATAGCAAACACTTACATAGCACCTATTATGTGCTAGGCATTGTGCTAAGTGCTTTACAAATATATCATCTTATTTGATCCTCACAACAACCCTGGGAGGTTACAGATAAGAAAAATGAGGTAAACAGGTTAAGTAACTTGCCCAGGATCAACGTATGGGGCCTGAGTAAGTATAAGTGTCTGAGGCCAGATCTGAACTCATCTTCCTGTCTATATATTTACAAGGCCCAGTATATTTTATACACCAGAAGCACCAGTAAATGACTCCTAATGGTTGAAATGAATTCAAACAATATTAATATCAGACTCACTCCACACAAAATTTAAATCTTCCAAATTGCAATTTATATATGGAGATAGCTAATTTAAACAAATTCAGATGCTTACCTCATTCCTAACAACTTTAAATTCCCAGGCATTAGCACAGCTCATCAATGAGCATTGAGTCAATTATGTCAGACATCCTTTGCATTTGCATCCTATTATTTACACGTGAGATTACTGTTGCCTTTTCTAAATTAGAGCTACACTCTACAATCTTAGAAAAATATTTTTACAAGTTAACAAAAATGTTTTAACACTTAAAAGACTTCTATGCTGTCTTCTGATGAAGCATCATATTGTTATGTCCTTTGACCTGTCCAGTCCAACATGTTTATTGATGACCTCTGGCTGGTGTCTCCACTTCCTGTGGAGGGTGAAGCTTTATCAGATCCTAACTTCCTCTTTTCTCCCCTGCTGCTCGACACAATACTTTAAGTACAGCAGGAAATTAACAATGACTGGAGGAAAGAATGACACAGAAGAATCCACACAAGGCACGCTTACAAAATTTTCAGAAGGCACAAAGATGGAAGAGATGGACAGAATAAAGATTCAGAATGTCTACAGCAGGCTAAAATTCTGGGCTGAAGCTAATAAGATAAAATTTAACAACAGTAAAGTCACTGAATCACAAAATTACAAAAGTTTAGAGTTGGAAGGGACTTCAACTACCACCCAAAAAGGGATCCTCACTACAACGCATCAGACAAGTGGCCACTCTGGCTGAAGAACTTCCAAGAGAAGGAATTCCACTACTTCCAGACACAGGCCAGTCTACTTAGAGAGAGCTTTGTTTGTTAGAAAGTTTTTTCCTGACCTTAAGCCAAAATTTGCCACCATGTCATCAATACATTGCAACCAAATACCCCAGTTGTTGCTCAGCCTTCCTAGATCCCATGAAGTTGAATCCCCCTGCGGTGTTATGTCTTCCATTACATTTTCAAGAAACCAATTACAGATGTTAATCAGGATACACCTGTACACTATAACGCCACTTTCAAAAGCAAGGGAAAGGGCAGAGGGAAAACAGGGTCATGTGCTCACTCCCAGAAGAGAGTTGAAAAAAATAGTTTTTAATGTTCTTAGCACACTGGAGTAAAAGCAACCATCAAAGGAGGCTGTTGTAACAAAACAGCCCAGGAGCCTCAATGCTCATTCTCTCTCGCTCTCTCTGTCTCTCTCTCTTTCTCTCTCCCTTGGGGCTTATCCCTTTACTGGAGGCAGCTAGATGTAGTAAAAAGAGTCTAAAACTCAATGAAGGATCTAGTATGTTCTAGCTGTGTGGGCTGGAGCAACTTCCCTCCTCTTGTTGGCCCTCTATTTCCCCATCTAGAGTCAAACCCAACATTTAGGGTAAAAAAAAAGTCAAAGGCACAAATATAAACTAGGGGGGGATTTGGTTTAACAGTAGCTTATATAGGGCAAAGATCTGGGGACTTAAGCTGATCACAAGCTTGGTATAAGACAACAGTTTAATAAAACTACCAAAAAAAACAGCTAACACAAACTCGGGCTGCACTGACATAATGTTCAGATAACAGAAAGCTGTAGCCCCACCATACTCTGCTGGACAGATCATATCTGGAGAACCATGTCTAATTTTTAGTGCATTTTGGGTAGAACACTGATAAATTGGACTAGACCAGTCAGAGGGGAACAGGAAGCTAAGGCAACAACAGTTTAAAAATTAGGGCTGTTTGCCCTGAGGGAAAGTCCATAGGGTGATGTAACAGCTTAAAGTGTTGTTATTTATTTCTTTTGAAAAAATGTTTTATTGATAAATTTTACTTTTTATAGTATAGTCGCCTCATCTCCTCACCCTCCAACACATAAAACTCTTCCAATATAGTGACATTACCTGACAACATATCAAACTTTAATTCCCCAGCCACATGAGGGCTATTATTTAGAAAAAGGAGGCGCGCATGCTGCTCTGTCTTACTACAGAGGATGGAACCTGAACCAAGAGGCAGAAGTTAGAGGGAAGGCTTATTTCAGCTCAAAAGAATACATAACTTGACAACCACTCAGTTGTCCAAAGATGGAATGGACTTTCTTGTTGGATCACTGAAGCCATTTAAATGGAAGCTCTTGACCAAAGGGATGTGCAGACGGGATGGGAGTCTGGACCGAGTGACTCCACAGCCCCTCCTCGCTTGGAGCCCCAGAGCTCTGCATGTGCAGTGTTTCTTCAGAGAACAACAAACCTGGCTCAGGATCCTTCCTGATCTTCCCCCCATGGCTTCCATAACTTCAAAAATGGGGAAATTCCAGTTGTTCATCTTTGCTATAAGTGCATCATGGTCTTCTCTTAATATCAGTTCCAGTAAGCACTCCTCATCTATCTGTGTGCAAACACACATTTATAAACCTAAGAAAACTTTAGTTTTAGTAAGTGATAAATTCATCTTGACATTACAACCCCAAATAGATGCTGCAAATCCTCAGTATCATATTCTCAAATGCCATCCTCACACATATCCCTTATTCTCTCTTCCTATCATTTCTTATTTTGGCAGAATAATATCTTCAAATTATTTTAAATAAATTATATTTAAAGGTTTCTAAACATTAGGAAATTCAGGTGATACTAGAGAGATGATCTCTCAACTTTAGGAGCCTTTAATTGAAAACAGAGCATTATTTCTATAAATAAAAAAAACTTCTCATACTAAAAATCCATTAAATGAATTCTAAAATTCATTATTTTTATTTAAAATTTATCATGTATATATATTTACATAGTATATTTATATCTGTTTTTAGGGTTGCTGGCTAGAAAAAAAGGAGTTTTTTCCCTTTTTGTCTTACTGATTTTGAGCTCTTCAGAGGAAAAGTACAAACCAAAAATGGCTATAGTAAAAGCATCATATTATTTGCACTGGCACACCAATTTTCCAAAATTTTAAAAAAGCACTACTCTTTAAAATAATGTTACCTCAGCATTTTCATAATGACACTTTGAGTTTTCATTCTGCTGTGCCCCTGATGGCATCTCTTCTTTGTGAACCTCTTCCTTTTCTCTCTCTTCATCTTCTTCCTCCAAGGCCTTCTGGGAGTGGCACCAAACTAGGCCATTAGTTAAGTACCCTCCTGGTTTATCAGAGGGCTCACACTGGGCCTCTTCGGGGCTCTCTTCTTCTGCTCTTCCTCCCTCTTCTTCCTCCTCCTTCAGTTCTCTGTCCAGTCTCTTGTCCGGCTCCTGTTCTGACTTGTCCCCAGACTCTCTGATTGGCCCTTGTTTAACATCGGTATTTCCCTCTTCAACTTTCAAAGAAACAGATAAAATTAGAAGTAATACATTTACTTTAACCTTTGTAGACAATTTGGGAAGAAAAAGATTGCTGTTTTTCTGTTACGTCTCGATTTGGTTATAACTGTTAGTTAGACTATGTTAAGCCACGGGTTGTTACCAGAGCGCATTCACAATAGCTGACTAGCAGCACTAGTTACTCAATGGCATGAAGTTGGGTCCTTCCCAAGAGAGCCCCAGTTTTCAAAAGAATCTTTCCCACAAATAGCTTAATTTGTACATATGAGAATGAAAAAAATGCCTAACTTGGGAAGAATGAAAAACATTTAGTCAGTTAGAAATAGTGACATTAATTTTCTAAGCACAGTTCCAAGCACAATGTTATTTAAATTTCATTTATTTAAAAAAAAAATTGAAGTCCACGCAACAACAGCCAATCTATTGAATTAAGATGTACTTTCTTCCACAAAACTGGCTGACTTGAAATTCCTGGTCTATCTCCGATGAGAAAGAGAATCTGGACTCTGATCCACTGAGTGGTTTTAATAATTGATTGAGACTTCCATTAAGTGAATCACCATCTTCATGTTGGAGAACATAATTGTTAACATGTAAAAATAAAGTCATCGGACTATAAGGGCGGAATCAGTCAATTTTCAATTATCTAGTATAAAAATTATTTAGATTTGGAATGCCATCTATGATTTTCTTCTCATAGAACAGCCTTCTTCATTGTGCCCAGTTTAGGATAGGTCTAAAATCTATCACAATTCCTTAGCACATACCAACTGAGGGTAAGGGAAAGCAGCTTACAATTCCATTGGACAAGAGGCAAACCATTCTGGAAATACAATTCTGGCTAGGACAATCACATCTGTCCTAGTTCCTCTAGTAAGTACTCTGTAAAAATTGTTTAAGAAAACCCCCATTGCCATTATTATAGAATCACGAATGCTTATTTTTCTAATCATTTTACACTGTGATAATCATTATAAATAAAATTTCTTTTGAAATACAAACATTTCACAGCTATTAAATAATTAGAATTTTTAAAAAATTCTCTCTACACAAAAAAACAAAAATATTCAAAAAACTCACACTTATGTACATTCAAAACACACATAAAGGCCCCAAATTCAATGTAAGTAAAATAAATTCAAATATTTATTATTACTATCATTAGTAGTAATAATGTTACCTTGTCTTTGCCCAGATTTTTTACAATCTATAATTCACATTCTCTATGATATTTCCATTCTAAAAATCCTGCAAAGCAAATAAGACATAATTCTGTGTTGCAGAAGGGTAAACTAGAATACAAAGAAGTTAAATGATTTGCTTGGAGTTGACAGAACTTGGCTTAGAGCCCAGTTCTCCAGATTCCTCAAGCACTCACTCCATGCCTTCTCCTTAGCTCACTGAGAATCAACAGTGGAAGCGATTTATTTATTACAGAATGATGATCCATGGGTCTGCACCAGTCAAGGGTTCTCCCTCCACTAGGTGACTTACTAGGCCTGTATGCAGTTTCCTCTAACACATCTAATGTCCTCATTTGATTACACACTGACTAACAATGACAGGGGCCTCGTTCTATACACTGCTACAGAGCACTTTGCACTTGCTAATTGATCAGCAGCAACAAAAAAGAATTTTAAAATTCTAGCATGATATTTATGTACTTGCAAGACATACTAACAAATCATTTCTTCATTTAATTTTAGACCCACTGAAAAAAAAATACAATTAATCACTATTAAGTGTACATATCTTTTGAAATCTCACCTGGTTTTCCACCCTGGTCATCTGTACCATATTCAGATTCATGTATTGAAACATGCTTCAGTACCTCACGTCCACAACTTAAGAAATAAATTAGATAAAGGTATATCATGAGGCTATTTCTCTTATTTTTTTATCTAAATATTTTTACTTTCCCACCTAAACCCAATGAAAAATTCACCTATGGCCACAACCTCCTTACACCCGGGAGGTTTTCTTGTAGAAACCATTACAACATACTTCCCACTTCTGGGGAACAGGAAGTGTTTTTGCATTTGCTATTTCATGTGATCCCAGTAACTCTGGGGAAAAGGGGGAAAGGAAGAGAACAAGAATTTATATAGTGTCTACAAAGTACTAGGCACTGTAAGTGCTTTCACAAACATTATCTTATTTGATCCTCACAACCACCCTGGAAAGTGCGTGCTGTTGTTATTCTCATTTTACAGTCGAGGAAACTGAGGCAGATAGAGGCTGACTCGCCCAGGGTCACACAGCTAGTGTCTTAGGCTGGATTTGAACTCAGGTCTTCTTGACTCCAGGGCCCAGTACTCTATCCACAGCACCACTTAGCTGCCTGAAACCTCCCCCTGGGAAGGAGGCAGTGTAAGTATTTTATACATAAAAGGGAACTGAGGCTCAGAGAAAGTCACTTACCTGTCTCAATACTTAGTTAGCTCCCAACTCAATCAATCTCAGAGCTTTTTATGTACTACACTGCTAGAATTAAAATGGGGTATAGGGAAACTTCTATTACTATAGCAATGAATAAGTGACTTGCCACAACTGAGGCAATATATGTACTTTAAAATAAAATTATTCATCACCAAACTACAACTGGAGCGATCACATTCTAATTACAGATAATTACAGGTCAGGGAGAAGGCCACACTGGACAAGTTGCCAATACTGGGACAAAAGGGCCCAAACCCAATGGCCAGTCATCTGTTCTGCAGGTCCCTTGAATAGCTACAGGACTTTCCACAGAGACCTTTTCTCTCATTCTCCAGCTGATAACTTGCTTCTGCAGATTTATAAGGGAAACAAAATCCTCAGCCTTTTACATATCAAACAGCCAAATGAACTGCAGAAGCTTTGGGTCTGACAGAAGTCATGGTTAGCAAGAAAGGTCAAGCCTAAACCAAAGGACAAAAGGAGAGGAAACAGATACATGGAATGCAGATCCCTACAGTTTTTAAAAGGCATATAAGGAGCTCAGTCTTTTTAAAGAGAGCAATGTGGGAGAAAGAAGAAGAAAACCTGGGCCAGAGGGCCACCACTAGCTATGCCACCATGGACGTGGTGTTTAAATCTGCTGAGTCTTACCTGCTTTAGAAACTGAATCCTTAAAAAGGAATAACACTACTGAGTCTGCCTCCCTCGCTAGGCTGTAGTGAAGATCAAATAAGCTAAGGTGTATGAGGCATTTTGTAGCTGTAAATTACTGCATACTTCAACTAGCATTATTATTTGTTTGTGTTAGTTATCTCACTCAGGGGAGTTGCAATACCAGGAAAAAAACCACAGAGAAAGCTGATTGAGAAGTTGGCTGTAGGGCCCTGTTGCCTCCTATGAGTTATCTCTCATACTCCCCCTTGAAGGAGGAACAGGAGATGGGAGAGGAAGAAAAAAGCAGAAGTGAGAATAAAGGTTACTTTACTAAAAGCCTCCATTCAAAGTGCCTAGCTGAGGGAGGGGAATGGCAGTGGTTTATTCCTTTGTTTCAGCAAGTGGAGAGATTATGAGGAGTCAAACAATACTGCAAAGGGCCAGGAGTAACCCCTGGAGGGAGCACTACAACCTGCCAAGGGAAGGGCCAGGCACCCCCAGGTTATTCCTGAAAAAGAAATAATTCTGAACGGCTCTGACATGCACAAACTGGATGACTGTTAAAAGAAAGGGCTTCCCTGGCAATGGGGTCTGGCTGACACAAAGGCAGCCCCAGGGCCTAGCAAGCATCAGGGTGCTCTGATCTAAACCGCCAGAGATGTGGAAGGAACTCTGTCCAACAGATCCCTCCATTCCCCATTCAAAACTTTCCTGATGTCCTGTAATGTCATTATTCATGGATCCTAATTTTTAAATGGAAACATTTCAAAACAGTCCTTTATTTCATCCCAGGGATAGGTACTTTCATTGGAAAATGGATAAAGCCTATGTAATATGAATGAGATGATAGAATAAAAACATTACATAAACACAACTGTCACCCTGCACACAGGATTACGTCTATCTAGTCTATTATGGAATTATGATGAGGAAACAGAAAAATGTGCAAATGTACAATGACCAAAATGACATCTATATCTTCATAATATAATAAATAAAAGTTTATGGGGCTTACCTGTTACATATATGGCTACCAGAAGTTCTAAATTGCTGAGGTAAATCTGGAGTACTAAGTGCATTCCCCAGAGATTTGTGTAAAGTAGCACTTGGCTTAGTAAGAAAACCAGCAGTGGCAGGAAATCCTGCGGGTGACCGGTTAACTAGGGAACCAGTGGACACTGATTCATGGCTAGGTGAACTCACAGGATTCAGGTTGAGTGAAGCACCTAAAAAAAAATTAATTGTGCAATTCTTTTCTTTAAAGAAGCTAAAGTATCTACAATACAGACTGCAGCTGGCACGTGGGCATTAGACACCAACGTTCTACTTGGAGCTCCCTTGGCACTCCAGAAGAACATGTCACTATTCCCTTTTTCAATGACTGCTGACTGGGTACCCAGGACAGGGAGAGAAAAGGAGGCAGCCTAAAACCTATGTTCCAGAGGGCACACACTGATCTGTTTCATACTGTGATACAGGCATTTCACATTTTCTCTACCGCTAGATCAATTATTCACACAGCAAGTACCAAAGCTGAATCCTATTTTTAAGGTCCCATGAGCAGAGATGACAAGTCCTATGCTGATACTATTCACGACATTATTTTTTTAGTCTTCCTCCCCAACAATCTTCAGCATAGCATGAAGCCTCTTTCTTTAACAGTCCAAACCGTTTTCCCATCAAGAAAAAGGACTATCAGAAGTAATGACTACAGGGTGGCCTCAACATCTGCACTAAGACTTTGGGACACCCTGTATGTTCAGGCCCGGACAATGAATAGTGCTATCACCAGAGAAGCCCAAGTCCCATTAACTGCCCAAAAAGGAATGTAAGACTTGACTTCAACATTTTTGGAATTTCAATTGGATACTTTTAACTTTTATAGAAACAGGGTGAGGCCAAGAAGAGAAGAGCTGGTTGGGGCTCCTAACTTATAAGACTCTCCAAAGATTCACCCCATTTCTCCCCAGCTCAGCAGTGCTATCTGTTCATTCTAATATGACAAAAGATACCAAATCTTCAAGCCCACCAATAAAATTAAGCTGCCATGTTGATCTGCTGGATGATTATGAACCTGAAAGATGGCCAAAGGGAGGGAATGGGAATGCAGAACATCCTAGGCTAGTGTTCTGCACATCTTAAAGTTTATATAACTAAACTGCAGTATGGAATAAGTAACACAGGAAAGTTCTGAGAAGAGAGTTAAAATGGGAAATCTGGAAAATCTTCTACTTACTCTTAAATTGGGTCTTCTGAATATGGCCTCATTATTTTATCTTTAGCTTTCTGAATTCCCACTAGATCAGTTAGGAAAACATAATCCTAACAACACATTACAAGGTAAAATGTAAACATCTGAACTAGTCAAAATTTTCCATCATTTACAGTATGGCTTCCTTCATTATCCTGGATAATGGAAAGGTTTTTTTTAAAAAATACTTCTTTATATTTCAATTCAGAGAAAAATACTCTAAACTGATAGGTTTAGGTATAAGGACCAACCAGGGAAAAATAAGGTTTTTCACTCCCCCAAACTGCTTTACCTAGAACTTTCTCCCCACGATTACTGTTCCATGGAGTAGGACAAGAAGAAGATGGTTATTACCTCTCTGGAGAATTCCTCTCACTCTTATTCTTCTCCCGAATGCAGGATATTGCATTACTGGAACTGTAATCATGCAACTTAGCAACTAATTCCACATGACTAAATAAAAAGCAATATAAATTGCTGAGTCACATAGATTTTTAAGCAATGTGAATTGAATATAGGAAAAGAGGGTCTGAAACAATTCCCGAAAATGTTATGTTTTCTAAAGATCCCCATATTTAAATCACAAAGATCAGTTTCTTACCAGATCTCGAAGGACTCTTATAGTCAGTCAAGGTTACTGAAGATGACCTTTGCTTTGGGAATGTAAACACATTTGCATCTGGAGATTCCAGGCTAAAAGGAGAATACAATGTCAGTACCTGCTCAGGCAGCAGGTGGACTCCATGACCTCTCACACCCCTGACACTGTGATTCTACTTCTCTAATGGTCCCCTCGACCTCCTGCTCAGTCTGGGTTTCCCTATGATCTTCTGTGCCCAGTGATTCCACTTTCCTAGGACCCAAAGACTTACTGAGTGAACTGACAATTAGTTAATGAAGTTAGAATATGTAAACACAGACATCAAGAGAACCACCCCATCTTACCAAAGGATCCCCACTCACCTAGACACTAATAGATACCAAATGAAATATATTTGTTAACATATAATACTAAAATAAAAATTTATATAGCTGAAGGCAGAGGGCAAGGGGATAATCTTAGCATATACTCCATTTCAGGACTTACATAAAATCCATTATTCCACTGATTAATGATTGTCAACAGGATTGTCACTATCTGTACTTGCATACTCTGTAATATTTTCATATTCAGTAACTAGAAAATAGACTCTCCAGGAGGCAGCTAGGTGGTACACTGGATAGAGAACCGGTGCTGGATTCAGGAGGACCTGAGTTCAAATCCAGACTCAGACACATAACACTTACTAACTGTGTGACCTTGGGTAAGTCACTTGACCCCACTGCCTAGCCAAAATAAAAAAAAATTAAATAAAGAAAAAAGAAAATAGACTCTCCAGATAGTGTGCCATGGAGGATCAAAATCACTGGACTGGAATCAGAAGATCTGGATTAGATCTCCAGTTCTGCCACTGACCAACTGTGCATCCTGGAAAGCCAAACGTTACAGGGGGAGGCCATAGGCTGTTAGGGGCTCGACTGACTCCTGAGTGACCTCAGGCAAACCACTTTATTCTCGGGGAGTCAGTTTTCCTGTATGTAAAATGAGAGTGTTGAAGTAAATGACTCCTAAGAATCCCTCTGTCTCTAAATCTTTATTTATGGCCCTAGGACCTTGCCCAAATTATTTTTCATCTTTGAGTCCCAATTTTATTACCTGTACAAAAGGGGAGGAGGGGGCCGAGGTTATCTCTAAGGTCCCTCCTGCTCTGAACATTTTATGATTCTGTAACTGGTAAAGTATCATTGTTCTTTCTTAAGGATTCTGGAGTGCTTAATCACATATAAGCACATAAGATGACTCCTTTAAAAAATTATGTCTTTTGTTTTTACATCACATTCATTTCCACACATGCTGCTTCCTCTCTCCCTACCACATCGAGCCTTCCCTTCTAACAAAGATTTTAAAAAAACAAATAGTTCAGCAAAGCCGACTGCCACATTTACCTCCTGAGCCCAGTACATGTGACATTCCAAACAACGTCCTCCCCCCCACCCTCCCACCCCCGGCCACTTCTCTGCATCTCTTCCCTGGGACCCACTCCAGTCAGCAGAGGGCCCAGCACTCAACGCAGCATTAGAATTCTGCTCTCCTGGGGAGAGTCACGGCAGGCAGGGTGTTCTTGGTTCTGCTGCTTCATTGCATTAATTTAAACACATTCTTCTGACATTCCAAATTCTTCACATTCATCATTTTTATGTCAAATATTTACAATATTCTCCAATCAATGACACCTATTTTGTTTCCTGTTCTTTGCTACCACAGAAAAATGCTGCTATATTTTCACATATAAGGAACCTTCCTTTCTCTCTTTAATGTTCTTAAGCTATAGCCCAAGAGCGGGACCAGAAAAATTCTTAGGTACCCTTCCTCCTATTAAGGTGGCAGCTAGGTGATACAGTGCATAGAGCACTGGGCCTACATTTGTGAAGACCTGTTTGAGACACTCACTAGTTGGGTGATCTCAGACCAATTTCTTAACTTCTATATGCCTCAGTTTCCTCATCTGTAAAATAGAGATAACTATTTTACCTTCCAAAGTTGTTATGAGGATCAAATGAAATAATATTTGTAAGGTGCTTAGCACAGTGCCTAGTACATAGCAGTGCTTAATAAATGCTTGTTACCTTCCCTCTTCTTCATTTACAAAGAGCAAGTAGAGATGGGGTGAAAAAAGACTATTTCCCACCAGAAGGGAGTTGCTGATTGACTCTTTTTGGGCCAAAAGAATCACCCAATCTGAGCTCTAGGACTCAGATCAAAAGTTAGAGTTCACTTTGAGTATTACATGAAGGGGACTTCCAAAGAATGGCTAAGTGATGGTGACAGGGGAGAGTCTGGAAGCGGCAGAGAGGAACAAGCAGTATCCCTCTTTCCTCCTTCTCCTCTTCCTCCTCTTCCTTCCAGTTCAGTGAGTGTGTATGTGAGCTGATGTGGGAAGGGGGATGAAAGTATATCCAGTATTAAAGAAGGTGACTAGGGCTGAAATATGTTGTGGGGAGGGAAGGGTCTGTGATTCAAAGAAGATAGAAAAGAGTATGACAGGAAGAGGTCTAATATGAAAGACAATTTATTAACAATTGATCAGAAGATCCTTAAGGCCACAGTGGGCTAGATACAGAAAACAGGTAGGCCTGGGGTAGACAGGGATGAGATAGAAAGGAGTGGCAGAGGAGGAAGGGAATTTTCACCCACGCCACCCTGGATTCTGAGTCACAAGGATTCAGAGAGGAGGAAGAGAAGGTGTGCCAGACACAGAAGGGGTGAGTGTCAAACCCCTCCAGCTCAGAACGTGCCTTAACTTTTTTCCCTCTACACAGGGGTAAGAGACTTGGAGCTGTGAAGGGTCAGAGCTGTGTTTGGGTAAATGACCCTGTCTCATCAGCAAGGGCATCTCTACCTCAGACCCAGCTCAGATGTTAATTTGATCTTCACCATCTGAATGAAAGGTTCTGTATACCAAAGGTGAGGAAGCAGAGTAGAGTGGAAAGGAAAATCAGACTGAGAATCAAAAGATTGGGCATCTAGCCCTGAATCTCCCATTATGTCTCCTTTACAAAGTCCCCTCTCAGTCTTCATTTTCTCCTACAAAAATGAGAGGGTTGGATTAAAATGATCTCTAAGGCTACTTCCAGCTCTAAAATTATAGGACTCTCTTTATATTCACAAGAGGAAAAGTACTATGTTAATAAGACTATGGTGATTTCTCTATGACAGATAATCCGGCACAACAAACCAGAGTTTGCAGGAATCCTGTGCATTATTAACTATAAAAACACTTCTTACTGATGCTGAAAAAGCATGAATAAGATTCAACCCTTGTGTCTATTAAAAACTCTATAAATCATAGGAATAAATGGAACTTTCCTTAATACAGTAAGTAGTATTTATTTAAATCCAAGAGTAAACACTATATATGGTAAAAAAAAAAACTGGATGCCTTTCCAATAAGATAAAGGAAGATTATAATCATCACTGTTGTTTAACAAAATGATAGCTAGAGCAATAAGTCAAGAAAAAGAAACTGAGGAAATAAGCATAGGCAAAGTAGAAACAAAACTATCATTTGTGTAGATGATATGATGATATATTAGAGAAGTCTAGGATTCAATTTAAATTAACTGAAATAACTTCACCAAAGTTACAGTATATAGGATAAGTCCACATAAATCATCGGCATCTCTATGTATGACCAACAAAACCCAGAAGGAAAAATTAACTAAGAAGTTAAAAAATACTTGGGGATACATCTACCAATATTCACCTAGTGACTATATGAATCTAACTATAAAAAATCTTTGCAAAATAAAGACAGAACTAAATAATTGGAGAAACAGTAATTGTCCATAGGTAGGTTGAGCCAATATAAATGAAATTAATACTTAATTTACTTATTCAGTGCTGTACCAATCAAACTTCCAAAAGAATATTTTATAGAATTAGAAAAAAAATAACAAAATTCACCCAGAGGAGCAAAACATCAAGAATCTCAAGGGTCGTAATGAAAAAAAGCAGGAAGGAAAGGGTGAGAGGAAAGTCCTATCAGTACCAACTTTAACTTGTACTCCAAAGCAGTAATCATTAAAATAATTTGGTACTGGTTAAAAAAAGAGAGAGGTTGATCAGTGGAATGGATTAGGTACAGATTATACAAAAACAAATAAACAAAGAAGCATGGTGTCTGATAAACACAAAGGCACCAGGTACTGGAGAAGGATTCACTATTTAAGTGTAGTAATGTAATGATGTAAGACTAATCTGGCAGAAATTAGGTTTATACTAACACCTCATATCATGTATCAAGATAAGCTCCAAATAGAAACATTACCCACTTATAAAAGGGCATATCATTAAAAAAAAATGAGAGGAGCAAGAAGAAATTACCTTTCAGATCTATGAATAGGTAAGGTAAAGAACTCATGACTAAACAAGTAATAGAATCATGGCTAAAATGGACAGTTTTGATTATATAAAATTAAAAAGATTTTCCCCAAACAGTTCTAAATCGGACACAGGACACACCCTCATTACCTCATACCTGAACAACTGCAAGAGACTGATGGTTAGTCTCCCTGTGACCAGTCTCTGCCTCCTTTGAGCACAGGTCTGACCACGACACCACACTTCCCCATTGAGCAAGCTTCAGTGGATCTCTATTATTATCTCCTGGAGCAAATGTAAAGTTCTCTGTCTGACTTTTAAAGCCCTTTATCACCTAGCCCCTTCCTACCTTTTCAGTCTTCTTATATCTTACTTCCCCCTTCTCAGTACTCTGCAATCCCATGGCACTGGCTTGCTTGCTGTCCTCTCCTATTACACGCCATCTCTAGACTCCAAACATTTCCTTCGGCTGTCCCCCATGCCTGGAATGCTCTCCCTCCTCGTCCCTGCTTCCTGGATTCCTTGGCTTCCTTGAAGTCTCAGCTAAGGTCCCACCTTATTCAAGATCTCCTTCCTGGTCCTCACTAATCCGAGTGCCTTCCTTCTAAGATTATCTACAATTCACCCTGTTACGTATGTGTGTGTGTGCACATATGCTTTGTATGTACATAATTATTTGTACCATGTCTCTTCCATTACATTATGAGTTTCTTGAGAGTAGGGACTTTTTTTCAGACTTCCTTTGTATCCTCAGCACTTAGCACAGTGCCTGACACATAGTAGGTACATTAAAGTGCTAGCTAACTAATGTAGCAAAAACGAACTGGAAAAAAATCTTTGCAACAATTTCTCTGATAAAGGTATTATTCCCAAGCTATAAAGGGTGTCCCAAAAGTCTTACTGTGGTTTTATGCTAGACTTTTGGGACATCCTACATTAGAAATGCATTCAAATTTAAAAGAATAAGACCCAATAGATAAATTGTCAGAGGTTAGGAACAAAACAACAGTTTTCAAAGGAAGATATACAAACTATTAACAAGCACATGAAGAAAATGCTTTACACGTCTAATTAGAATAATTCAAATTAGCCTAATTTGTACTAATCTAACCCTAATTAGAGAAATACAAATTAAAGCAACTTTAAGATTCCACATTACATTATCAGATTGACAATGATGACAAAGAAGAAAATGACAAATGTTGGAGGGGCTGTAGGAAAACAGGCACGCTAGTGCACAGCAAGTACAGTTACAAATTGGTCCAGCCATTCTGGAGAGCCATTTGAAACTTATGATCAGAAAGTTACCAGACTATGAATACTCTCTAACCCAGAAATACCACTGCTAGCCCTACATCCCAATTCAAAGAAACAGGAAAAGGATCTATACTTACATAAATATTAATAGCAGCTCTTTTAGTGGTAATCAACAATTGTAAACTCCTACTAGGGAATGGCTAAGTGAATTACATTCAAAATATGAATGTAATGGAATAATACTGTGCCATTAAGAAATTATGACATGGACAATTTCAAAGGAAAATGGAACAATCTCTAAGAACGGACGCAGAGGGAAGGAGAGGAATTAGGAGAACAAATAAAAAAAATAACTTTAAAGACCTGAAACTCTGATCAACATATTAATAAACCACAAGTCCAAAAGAATGAAGATGAAATATACTACTCACCCACTGGAAGAGAAGTGATGAACGTGAAATGGAGGGAGAGATATAAATGGCTAATGTGGGAATCTGGTTTTGCCAGACTATGCTACTATGTGTCCAGGGCTTTATTTTAGGGGTTTTCTTTTTTAATTGCTAAATGTGAGTAAGGGAAGGATAGATTAATTTTTTAAGTTTACTGATTTTTTAAAAATAGTCAAATTTTTTTAAAAGTGTCTCTTAGTCCTCTCTACCTGACATTTTCTTGCCCTCATGGAGTCCTAGCTCCCCCATGTCACTGCATCCCTGGCAATTCTCTCTAACACTAGCTTTACCTTCACTTACACCCCCACCCCTTAGCACACTGGTACTGGAGGGAAAACCTTGCTCCCCATTGCAAATTCCAGACTGCCCCTCTGCCACCAACAGTCTATAACCTCTCCTTCCTTGAAGTTTATTTGATTTAAATTTTCCAATTAATCCAGATCATGGTGTCTGTTGTATACCAGTTCCTGTCCTGTCGTCCTTACCTCCTCAAGGAGTTCAGCATCTGGGTCATTGCTGTCCTCTCTTCTCTAGCTCCTGCTCTTAAATGAGGGGGTTTTTATATCTCTATTGATGCTTCCTTAAACTCCTTAGCCTTCCAATTCCTCAGCCTCCTTGTATCCCATACCAACTCTTCACCCCAACTTTACTCTCAAATCCCTTACCCCACTGTCCTAGCAATGCTCACTCCCTGCCTAATCTCAGCCTTGCATTCCTCCAGTAACCCACAGAGAAAAAGAGGGAGATCGTTTCAGGCGGGGGTGGGGGGGTGTTTGGCAATCAAGAGCTGGTATGTCACATGAGAGAAGAGCCAGGAGGCCGAGTTGGAGTCAGAGGAAGTAGACAGGAGTAATGTGTTAAGAAGACTGGGAAGGGAGGAAAGGGCTAAGTTATGAGAGGAGGCTTTGAAAGCCAAACACTGGATTTTATATTTGTGACAAATGGCAAATCATGCAGCACAGCACAAATTACTTCCATGAGCTTACAGGTAACAGCCTGAGTACAACTTAACTTTAACCAAGACAATTTGGCTTGAGAAACTGGCAGCTGTCTTTCGTCCACAGAGCTGTCATTGGAGAGTGGTCTGGAGTAAGGTGAGGGAGCTGCCTGTGGATACCTGTCTCTCCTCTGGTTCATACTAACTCCATGATCCAAAGCAAGTCAATTAACTCCTAACTCCCCTTGGCTACGAGACTCCACATGGCCTAACTGGGGCTTATCTGCACTGAGAGGGAGTTTCCTCACCAGGACTTCCTACGCCAATGAAATTAAAGAGCTTGATGGAAAGATGGAGAATAAAAGCAGAAAAGGCTAAATTGCAGCAGCAACAAAGGAGGGTCCTTGTCATTTCTGGCCGTCCAAAGTCAAGGTAAACTCAGGTCAGCAGAAACTAAGGTCAGCAAAAGGCTTTGTCCTAGAAACAAATGGGAACCTTTCAGAACGTCTGATACAGCTTTTCCATTTTATGGATGAGGAAACTGAATCCCAGAAAAGTTCAAGGACAGAGTTAACTAATGAGGAGCAGAACCAATGATTGGTCCATTTGAAGAGACGAAGCTATGCGCCCCCAGCACAATTCATAATTCCCATCTTTGGCATGAGTGTCGAGGACCTGGGCACATCACTAGGCAGGGTGAGGAGGGCCAGGATGCATTTTACCTCAGAGTACTTTGCTGTCGGAGAGGGAGCGTGCGCCTTCTGCTGCTGCACTCCCATCGTGAAGGAGACAGTTCAGGGGGTGGCAGAGGGAGACCTGAGGTTCTTGAGTTTCTCCTTAGTTGTAGCATCAGCACACTATTTCTATTACTTGGTGTCTGTTGAATAATTAAACAACATTTAAAATTGTTACACTGTATGACCTCTGTATTGGTACATCCATATGTTTAAAACATTTTTCAACAAGCCACAAAGAAATTACATCATACTCTTTCCTAGAACTGAGTTAATTATTCCCCCAAATTTCACATTTTATCATATTCCATTTTTCTTCTTCCTTTTAAAATGATTATCATAGTAAACTTTGATTTCTCTGGAATCCAATGAACAGGAAGATGAACAACTAGATGTTTCTTTTACCCATTCTATACTCTGCTTTTTGGAGAAGAGACAATCAACAAGAAAACAAGCTGATATGAGGCATTTGTTCTTAAAATGTCACTTCCCAAGCATACTCTGGGTCTAGTTCAGTCCAATCTCAGACACCCAAAGTACAATGGTAACTGATATTCATCACCTTTGCTGCCACTTGGAAGGGATCTCTCCCCACTCTAAACTCCACAGCATGTTTCTTCCTTCACCTGAACACTTTTGCTTGTGTTCCCTTTATTTGTGGACACATTCTCTCCTAAACCACATGCTCTCTGAGAACAAAGACTAAATCATGTTGTTCATGTCTGTAGAATGCCCAGTTTAAACTTTGCAAATAATAAGTACTGAATAAAGAGTAGCTGAATGAACGTGAATGTGCATCCTAGTATCCCTGAGACCACAAGACTTAATTAAAAGTACTTTACGAATAAGTTGTATTTTATGACAGTCTAACATGCGTAACGGCTATGGACCTCCATCAATCACAATACTGACCCACAGCACTGCCCTCTCCCACCAGCCTTGGGAGCAGGAGTCGGCTTCCTCAGCAATGACAGAGAGCACAGATCTGTTTCTTGAGAGCTTATTTCCTCTGTATGCTTGTTTGTGTTTCACTGCACAATTAAAACCATCAAAATAACTCAGAGCATTCCAGAAGCTATGAATTCTTAAAAACTCCAAAGTCTCTTTCCACATAATAGTTTGCAACTATGGCACAGCAGAAGAAAATAATAATGAAACTCTACAGAAACCTGTCAAGTAATTCTTTTTTCTAAATTGGTTTTCAGTAAAGCATTAGACTTCGCAAGCCTAAGGCATCCAATATTATTAGACTGCTATTTTCAATAGCTGGGGAATATCATGGAATCAATAAAAATCAAGACAGAGTTCCACAATCATCTCTAAGCTCATCGCACTACTCAGGCACACTTACAATCAAATAGTTCTTTCCGTCTATCCAGGCTGTCTCTGACGGTAAGGTCAGAGACAAATCTTGTCTAGTTCTCTCTGCAGAGGGTTAAGAAGTTGTTGTGTACTAGAAGGCCATATTAAGTTGCTCCTTTACCTTCTCCTTTCCTAAGCAGATCAGCTCACTCATAGGGATTATTTCCTATTCCACTGCTCATTTATCTTTTCCTTCTGTGAACTCTCCCTCGTTTCTTTACATACTTTAAAAAGCAGAGAAATCAAATCAAAACATTTAAGGGGAAGCATGACAGAGCAGAGAGGGCACTGGGCTCTCCGCTAACTCCTCATCCTCGCTAAGTTTGGGTTTCCTTGTCTGCAAAACGAGGTTGGCCCAGAAAATCTCTAAGGTTTCTTCCTATTCAAACATTCTCAAGTTCCTAATAATCTAATTTTAGCCTTAAATAACGCCTAGAACTGGAGTGAGATTCAAGTATCAGTTCTTGTTGCTGAAACACTTCTAATGGTTATAAGGACATTTCTGGACCTCGTTTCACAGCAATGAATACTGCAACAAACATAATCAAATTCTTTTGGATGACTAAGTGCCTTATGGTACACAAGAGTTATTACTCTAAATGTCATTTTCCACTAAAGAAAATGCAGGAGGGTTGAGCTGAAAATACCCTGTCCCCATCACGTATCTTGGAAGATACTTCAGTAATAAAATTTTTAGCATCAACTTTTAGTATCCAAGAAAAGAAATAAATCAAGGTAGGGGATATGCTCCTGTAACAGGGTTGTTTTTTGGTATATAAGAAGCTGGTGGACACATGATAATTTGCTTCTTGTTTTCCTTTCCCTTCATCCCTGGCTGCTGATTGGTAACAATTATCTTCTGAAGTAATAAATTTTTGATATCTCCACTCTAAATTACTACATAAAGTATTCAGTCGGTAAACTAAATTTATGAAGCATTCATTTATAAATAAACTTATTAAGCACCTACTATGTGCCAGGCACTGGGTATAAAAAAAAGAGACAAAAGACAGTCCCTCCCCTCAAGTAGCTTACAATTTAACACGGGAAGATAACAAAGTACTACGTACAAACAAGCTGCTTCTTCTTCTTCAGTTATTTCAATCTATACCACTCTTCATGACCCCATAGGGGGTTTTCTTGGCAAAGATACTGGAGTGGCTTGCCACTTCCTTCCTTTACATCCTTTACATATGAGGTAAACTGAGGCAAACAGGGTTAAGTGACTTGCCCAGGGTTACAAAGTTACTAAGTATCTGAGGGCAAATCAGTCTTCCTGACTAGAGGCCTGGCACCCTACACACAGGAAATAATTAAGAAAGGGAAAACACCAGAATTAAGAGGGGTTGGGGAAGAGCTGTTATAGAAGATGGGATTTTAGTTAGGGCTTAAAGGAAGCCTGAGAAGCCAATAGGCAGAAAGTAGGAGGGGAAGCATTCCAGGCATGGGGGAACAGTCAGAAAAAATGCCCAGAGTCAAAAGATGAAAGCATCTTGCTTATGGAACAGCCAGGAGGCCAGTGCTACTGGATCAAGGTCTATACAGCAGGGAATAAAGTGTAAGAAGACTGGAAAGGTAGGAGGGAGTTAGGCTGGCCCTAGAAAGGCTTTGAACACAAAACAGGATTTTGTATTTGGTCCCATAAGCAATAAGGAACCACTGGAGTTTATCAAGTAGAGGGTGGGGTGACCTGGTCATACCTGCATTTTAGAACAATCACTTTAGCAGCTGAATGGAGAATGGACTGGAGTGGGGAGAGACTTGAGACTGGCAGACCCCACCGCAGGCTACTGAGGTAATCCAGGCATGAGGTCATAAAGGCCTGAACAAGAGGGATTGCAGTGTCAGAGAAGAGAAGGGGGTGTATTCAAGAGATCTGCAAAGATGGAGTCAACAGACCTTGGCAATAATTTCAATACGGAGGATGAGAGATAGTGAAAAACACAAGATGATTCATAGGTTGCAAGCCTGAGGAACTGGGGGGATGGCACTGTCCTCTACAGTAATAGAGATCACAAGAACGGGAAAGATAGTTATTTTTGGCATGCAAGATGTCTACTAGTCATCCAGTTGGAGATGTCTGAAAGGCAGCTGGAGATGGGAGATTGGAGATCTGCAGAGAGAAAGGGAAGAAAGAAGTGCTTTGCCTGTGGCATATTTATTTCTTTGGAAACAAGTGCAATCAACCCATCAACAAAATTTATTAAACACCTACTGTGTACCAAGCATTGTGCTAGACAGGAGAGATACAAAGACACAAATAGCTGCTCTCTCAAGGAACAGCTGGGTGGCACAGTGGAGAGAGTTTGGACCTGAAGTCAAGAAGACTACATTCTAATCCTGACTCAGACATGGACTAGCTATGTGACCCTGGTCTCGTCACTGAACCTTTGTCTGCCTCAGTTTCCTCAGTTGTAAAATGGGGACAAGAGCACCTGCCTCCCAAGGTTGCTATGAAGATCAAATGAGATGGTATTTGTAAATCTTTTTATCAAACCTTAAAGTGCCATAGAAGTGCTAACTGTGGTCATGGAGGGACACAACCTGTATTAATATAAGCACAGACAAAACACCAGGCAGTTTGGGGGGAGGATCCAGCATCTGGGGAGGATCAGGAGGTGGCACCTGAGATAGGCTTTGAAGGAAACCAGGTATTCTACAAGGCAGAGGTGGAAGGGTGTACCCTGGGTACAGCGGCTGTACCACAGGCCTGCAATGTCACGTGTGAGGCATAGGAAGAAGGCCATCTTGGCGAGACCAAGTCGTGTGTGAATGTATCCTGTGCCTGAAAAGACAGATTGGAGCCAGGCCATACAGGGCTTTAAATACTAAACAGGGAAGTGTGTATCTTATCCTCCAGTCTGTACTTAACACAATAACTATTTCATGGGGAAGGGATGGCCCAGCATTGCCAAGAAAAGCATCAACAACCCTTGGTAACCAGGTCTAGCCTCCTTTGTTAACTTCAGAGAGGCTGATAAAGGCAACTTAGCAAGAGCCTCTGGCCATTACTAGCGAGGAATCACTAATTCCAATCCAAGAAGGTGTCTCAGAGGTCACCAGCTCCCTTAGGCTGGACCATTTCCCTCTTTTCTCGATTCTGACATGACACAAAAAGACCTTTTTGTCACAGAACAGCAAAATCAAATAGCGTTTTCATTTAAAAGGAATGCTAGGCTGAAGAGATCCACAGCAATCCAAGAGCCATCCCTCTGAAGTCTTTGGACACTGTTATTTTCAAGATAATAAGAGATGCCCAGCAAGCAGGCTATGCCCTGAGCTTGGCATAACCACAATCCTTTGTGCTCACTCTCTGGCAAAAATCACATAATTATTGTATCGCTCTGACCAGCACCAGGTATTCTGAGCTTGGACAAGCACTAGACAAGCTCAGACAAGTACCCTTGTTCCAGTCATGAAGTCCTGCTATGAATCAAACTTGTGTCATTGCTTCTGTTACCCCTCATTGTCAGGGCTACAGCTCACGGTGGAGCCAGAGGTGTAAGTAGTGAGATCTCCCCACACTGCCTCAGGTCCTCCCACTAGGAGCAGGGCCCTGGCTCGTGTGTCTAATCTGCCTCCCCGCTTATAAGCCATTTCCTTCACTTTGAAATTAAACTTCTGTTTGATTTCTGACTCTCCTGTCTCGACCTGCTCCGTTCAGCTCTGGGCATCCTTGGTCAGCAAGCAGTTTGGTCCAGGTGACGCTATCAAAGCAAAAACAGATTAATGCCAAACCAGTGAAGCCATAGAAAGAGACCAGTGTAACTCACAATAACAGGATCACCTATTTCTGTCTCCCATCCCACCAGACTAAAATTAGACATCATTTTCCTAGCTATATGACAAGGAATGTTACTAACATATTCTTGCTAACATAGTCCATATAGTAAGATCATTATCTGTCTAATAAAAGTAGGGAAAAAATCAAAATGAGACTTCCACTCATGCTTGCCTCTTCATCCTAACTGCACTCAGCTCTGCTTTGAGCCCAGCCCTGCAGCTACCATGCAGGAGAGTGAACCCTGCGAGAAGAGGTTCTCCCTTTCCATCCCACCACCATCAACCAGGCAAGCAAGAACAGGTAAAGCAGCAGAGTGCCCTGAGAAAGAGAGAGGGAGCAACCCATGCCAAGAGGATCGAACCGCCTCCAACCCCTATAAAGACAACCAAGGATGCTGTGCACAAGCTCTCCTGCCCTGGGCCCTGCTTCCTAGTCCCACAGTCGTCTTCCAAAGAAGCACCCTGAAACCCTGGCAGATGCCTTTGTAGATGCTTCAGCCACAGCTACTAAAGAACCAAACCACAAAGTCCTCCATGCCAAAGTCTTTGGTAAATCAAATGGTTCCTGACACTAAGGATGTATGGCCATCCACTTTGCTAGGGTTAGGGTTACATGTATATTAAATCTCAAAAGTTAAGGCACTACTTAATCTTATTTAAAAAATAACTCACAGTGAGATACTGGAAGAGACAGATTATTTCTACATCTAATGATGAAAAAAACCAAGATGATTCTGGATCACAGACTCTGACCCAGAAGGCCATCAAATTCAACCCCCTCATTTTACAGGTGAGGAAAGAAAGGCACAGAGAGGTTAATTAAATAACTTGCTCAGGGTCCCACAGCTAGTAAGTGTCTGAGGCAGGATTTGAACCCATATCCTCCTGACTCCAAGTCCAGCATTCTATTCACTACATCATGCTGCCTCTTCAGGACAAAGTCTAAGTCATAGTAATTACCAATAAGTATAAGCAGAAAAAAAACTGGGACCAAAAAGACAATAAATTGAAAAAACAACTTTGGAAATTATCTTTTATAAAATTCAGAAAAAGCATTCCCTTTAGGTTTTCCAAATGGACATACACACACACACCACACACACACACACACACAATTCTAAAAAGTAGTGCTAAATTTTAGTCTGTACAAGATCAGCCTTGAAGCTACACAAACAATAACGGTTACTACGACATAAGTCATAAATGCCAAGCTTAATATCACTAGATCAGGAATATATTTAATTCTACCACCAGGCACACAAGAAGTTATCTAGTATGACCCACAAGAAAAATGTAGATCATAAATCTCTCTGAAAAGATCAAGAAGATTCATTCTAATATATAATTTTAAAAATTAGTTTTTGCAAAATTATTCTATTTTGTACAAGATTTTTAAAGGTAGTTTACGTCTGAAAATCTCATTAAGAAGTTATTTTTAAGGCTATATGATTTATTCTACAGTTCTCTGACCTTGTTAGGTTTTGTGTCTTTTTCATCAGGGTCCTCTATTTCACAGCAAGGGTTAAACTCAGAAAACAATGGGAATGTGTTGATATTTGGCCTACATGATTTGGAGAAAGCACCCATCAAACTATCCATGCTTCGAAGAGAAGTAATCACATGTGGGGGGAGGGCTGGATCCATCATTAATTCTGTCACCATTTGGCGAGCCTCATTTAGCATCGAAAGATCAACATCAGTTCCTCGTGAAGCACTCTAAAAAAGAGAAAAATGCTTAAAATTATATTAATTCTTTAATTTTATTACAGAGAAAATTTCAAATTAATAAAAGAATTTTCAATGATAAACCACAGATTATGCAGTAAAATCTCATTAAATTAGATCACATTAAAATGCATATTTTCTATAATTCTGATGTGGTACACATTATTCTTAGTGATTGAAAAGTCTGGGGGAAAATGTCATAACTCAAGATTTCATTCATATAAGCTCTAATGTAATTAGAGTAAATTAGGGTAAAATGTAATTAAAAATTTCATCTCAAACTGAAGCACAAATCCTATCTATGACATGTCTGAAAAATGATTATACATTCTAGATCAAGAACTTAATACATTCAAAAACGGTTCGTTCCATTTGTGGGTTAAACTAGCTAAAGATACATCACCTAAGTCATACTCATAACAGGGTTTACCACTTCCCATTTGATAATTTATGACGAGTATAAATTAAGATTTCTGAATCTTAAATTCAGAATTCACAATAACCCAATATAAAAGTGATAGGGTTTTAATCTTTACCAATTAAGAATGAATATAAAATGAAAAAGGGACAAGCTAAAAGATTATCATTCATTTAAATGAAAAGTTGAGAAAATAGTCTTTAGCCTCAGAATCTAGCAGTCTGTCTGAATTAATCCATAAAAAGATACTGATAACAGCAGCTAGGTGGCGCAGTGAATAGAACACTGGCCCTGGAGTCAGGTGGACCTGAGTTCAAATCCAGCCTCAGACACATAACACTTACTAGCTGTGTGACTCTGGGCAAGTCACTTAACCCCAACTGCCTCAAAAAAAAAAAAGATACTGACAGATGCATCCATTTATCTTAAGAAAATTCAGTTTTGTGGAAAATTTTTAAAAAACAGTGTTCACAATTCAAAGTTCATTACGTGGTTTCAATAAAGTCAAAGCCAATAAAAATTAAGCAGACTGCAAGATGGCAACATATTGAAACCTCATAAATCTCAGATATAACATTGCCTGCAGAACAAAATGTCCAGCATGCTTTGACAGAGAAATAGCAATAGGATAGATATGGGCTCAGAATGAACAGATGATTGTAATCAATATGAAAATACAACTAGAGAATGGATGAGTAACCACTATTTCGATAACTATATTAAAACCATACCAAGAGAAGGACAGTAAAGCTGAAATAGAAATGAGGTGCTCAAGTTAGTTTATTGTTCTGGCTAACTGAGAAATTCAAAAACTCTGCTATAAGAAATAGATTTAAAATGCATTGTTAGAATAGACTTTCCTCCCTTCCTTGGTCAGGAACACACCACATGTAATGGAATTCATCTTTGCTGACTTACTTTCACCATCATTTCCCATGCTGATTATCACTAGAGGGCCCTGTATGACAAGTTCAGATGCTGCAGCCCTGACATTACTCTCTCAGCAGAAATCCAGATCACAATCCCTCTTTCTGGGAAGATTTTAAGGCAAAAAGTGCTGGAAGAGTTTCGGGAGTAAATAGTTTATCAAAATTTCAGAGTGACACTGATTAATGTTAATAACTTACTCTGGAAACCAACAGCCTGGGGTAGAGCTAGATGTGAGTGTAATGAGTAATTGATAATATTGTCACTTCAGAACCATCTAAGCTTCTCTATCTACTGACCTCATCTTTCCTTCTTCCTCTCTCTCCTTAGTACCTTTCTCCTACCATCTGCTTAAGTCTCCTATTTTATGAGGGCTGTTTCTCCTGATGGTCTTTTTCTCCTCTTTCCCTTTTACTCCCAACTTCTCCTTCTTCCTTTTATGTCTGTCTCTCTTTCTTCCTCTCCCCTTATGACTCTTTCCTTTCCCTGTCCCATCTTTTTACTCCAAAGGTTCTTCTTTAGGTACTTTCTCCATCAAACAAGCCAGTAGCCTCTCTGTGGCTAGATAAGCTGTCCTAGGATGACAGACTCAAAATCTGCCTCCAGAACAGTACTAGAAACCTACCTTTCCAATTTTATGGGAATTGCCAGAGGCTGAACTCTGTAGGCATAGGTTCTAAGAACCCAAAGTCACCCCTACACTAAGATAAGGATTCAGAATAAAGATTTTAAAAGCCCAAATATATTTGTAAAGGGGAAATTCCATCTCTTTCTCCCCTATCCCCATCAGAAATGCTGCAGCAATTAATGGAGAGATGTCACATTCCCTAGATGTTAGGGTGGGGCTTGGAAACTCTACATCAACATTCTACCTCCTACACGCTAGAAATGTACCTAGAACTAGAACTAGCTTTTCCTTTTGAACCAGGCTGTGTCTACTCAGCACTCCCTATTCCCTATCATGGCTCTTGAACTTATCTCCCAGCCTTCTGGTTACCTACCATCTGTCATCTAGGTACATGTCTAATCTCAACTCCTCCCTTCAGTGCAAACTTTTCAGTGCAAAGTGGTCCCCCTTTTCTCTCTATCCCCAAATTAGCTGTTTCAAACGCTTCTTTTCCCTTGATTCCCTCTATACCATCTCCTTCCCTTTCAGTAGAGGCCCTTTCCTACTTTACTGAAGCAATCAAAATCTATAAGTAAGCTCCCTTCTCTCCTCTACTCCAACCCTCAATCTCTTTCCTTGCTCTAGCCTTTGAGAAACACAGGACCTTTCTTTCCAAGACTAATCTCCTTATTTCCCCATTTTCACTCTCTGTTTATTCCCTGATGCCTACAAATATGTTCAGATCTTCTCTAGTCTTAAAAAGTTTTCCTTTAGCCTTATTGTCTTCTCAAGATGTCTTCCTATACCTCTTCTCCCTTTCCCAGTCAATTCCTAGAAAGGCGATCTAAACTCATCTCCATTTTCTCACTTCTCAACCCCTTGCAGCATGACTCCTTACTGGAATACCATGCTAAAAGAGCTCTTCCAGAGATTACCAACTATTTCACAACTGCTAAATCTGATGGCCTTTTCTCAGCACTCATCATTCTTAATCTCTCAGCAGTTCTGGATACTATTAACAAACCTTCTTCCCAGATACCCTTTACTCCCTAGCTTTAAAATTATCTCCTCTACACAGATGATCCTATATATATATATATATATATATATATACATATATATATATATATCTCCAACTATAGTCTCTATCCTGAACTATAGTCCTACACTGTCACATTAACTGCCTTTTGGACATCTCATACTGGATGTTCTACAGACATCTCAAATTCAGCATGTCCAAAAGTGAACTCATTATCTTTCTGCAAAACCTGCCCCTCCTCTTCCAAAATTCCCTATTGTTATCAAGGGCACCATCACCCTCCAAGTCACCTAGGCCATCAACCTTGAGGTCATCCTTAAATTCTCATTTACACTCACCCCACATATTCAATCAGTTGCCAAGTCTTGTCTTTTCTACCTTCCCATTTCTCATATACACCCCTTTATCCCCTTTCACACAGCCACTACCCTGGTACAGGCCTTCTCTCAAGCACATTATTGGAATAGCCTTCTAACTGGTAGCTCTGCCTCAAGTCTCTCCCCAGTCCAATTCATCCTCCATTCAGCTGCCAAAGTGATTTTTCTAAAGTATAGGTCTGACCATGTCACTTTCTTGTTCTATAAATTCCTCCCTTTTTCTTCCAGGACCAAATAGATAAAGTTCTCTGTTTGGCATTTAAAGATCTCGTTGAGATAACACATGTAAAGTGCTTTAACCACCTTAAAGAATTACATAAATGCAAGCTATTGTTACGACTGTTATTATCATCATCATCACCAATAATAACCTGGCCCTGTCCTACCTCTCCAGTCTTCTTATACTTCACTGTCTTCTACAAAATCTACAATCCAGCCTTACCCGTCTTTGTCCCCTTCTTCAGTCATGACACTCCATCTCTTATCTCCACGTCTTTGCACTGGCTGTCCCCCATGCCCAGGATGCCCTCCCTTCTCACTTCTGCCCTTCAGTCTCCTGGCTTACTCCAAGATTCAGTTCAAATTCCACCTTCTTTAGGAGGCATTTTCCAGGCTACCTCCCATCCCGGGTGCTCCAGTTTTCCCTTCTAAGATTATCTTCCATCTACTCGCAGGTCTTCTACACTCCTACTTATCTCCCCGTTCTCTCTCTCCTTAGAAGGTGAGCTGCTTGAAGACAGGAACTGTTTTGACCTCTCCTTGCATTGTCGGCCCTTTGCACCGTTCTTTGAACATAGCAACTGCTTGATAAATGTCTGTTGGATGGCTGCCAGTAATCTCTCCTGATTCTCCTCCTACCTATCTAACAACTCCTTTTAGATTCCCTTTGCTGAACCCATCATCCACTTCTTGCTCCCTAAATGCACACTTTCCCCAAGGAAAGTCCTTGGCCCTCTTTCCCTTCTCTCTCTATACTGTCTCCAATAGGTTCAATTACTGTCTCTAGACAGACATTTCCAAGTTTCTATATTCAATCTTGATCTCTCTCCTGAACTTTAGTTTCACATTTCCAGCTAGTCCCACTGACATTTTGGATGCAACCTATCCAAAATACAATTATCTTTCCTTCCCCCAAAAAAACCTTGCCCTTCCTTCAAATTTTCGCATTTCTGCTGAAGGTACCCCTATCCTTTCAGTTGTCCAGGGCTACTACTTGAAATCACTTTCCGCTCCTCCCCCTCTCTCAAACTGCGGACCACGCCAGCTGGGGAGCCTGGTTACTTGTTCTTCTCCATTCACACAGTCACCATTCCAGGTGGGTCCCTCATCACTTCCTACCCGGACAACTACAATATCCTCTTAACTCATCCTCCTTCCACAGTCTCGCCTCCCTAATGTCCATCCTTGTCTCTGCTGCCAAAATAATCTTCCTCCAGCATGGGTATGACCATTTCACTCTCCAGCTCAGAAAGAACGAGTGGACTCCTATCAGCTCAAAAAGAAAACACAAACTCCCCAGCCCTGCACTTCAAGCTTGCTCCACGTTTATTCTGCTTTACTCTTCATCACATATTCAACTCGAGCTGACTGAGCTACTTACTCTTCCTCACACAATATCGTATCTTCTGGCTCTCCAGCATGCCTGGAATAAATTCCCTTTCTTAGCTAAGCCTCTGCAAATTCCTAGCTGCCTTTAACCTTCTCTGTGTTAGTAATTTCTTCCTCCTCAAATTTTATTTTATTTACATATCCATTTTTCATGTATCTTCCAGGAGAATATAAGCTCCTCAAAGGCAGTTACTGTTGATTTATTTTTGTCTTTGTATTCATGGTGCCTTTGCACATAATGGGCACATAACACATATTTATGGAACTGTAACCTCATTCCACAAGCTGCTGCAATAACAATCTATTCCATGACCCTTTCTACTACAGTCTGCTCCTCTTCTAGGCACTTTTAGTGTATCTTAGGAGCTTTGTTATACCTCAGCCTAGCTGGCATCATCAAACCTGTCCTACAATACCCTCTTCTCCAAACCTGCCTACTAACCTCCTCCCCGTCCTCCACTGAGAGCCCAAACTGCCACCAAGTTTCCCCGAGTATTCACCAAGGTCACAAACTTGGCCTTCCTTGATTCCAACTTCCAAGCTTAAAGAGTTTCTATTTTCTCTGAACTCTACCTAGCAGGACTCTTTCACGTGGCACATGCTAGTTGCTACTGTAGTAATTTATGTATGTGTTTTAGCTTCTCTCCTAGATCATAAAGTGGAGTGGGGAAAAGGGGAGAAGGAGAGCTGGCAAATCTAATTTATTTTCCTATCTCTTTCAGTGCTGACAGTGTTTTATATATAATTGGTAATTGAATACATGACTCAAAAATACTTCAGTATTTGTTGTATTAATAATGGATAAAGTTTTGTGCTTCTTTTTCTTGATTTTAAAAACAAAGGGAATTAATTTTTAAGTGCTCTAAATTGATTTTTTTTCTCAGTCAACAATCCTCAATTTTAAAAAATGGGTCCTTATACTAATTTGGGTTGAAGCCTAAGCTAAGCTCAGGTAATCCCATGACAACTGCTTGTTTTTAAACCACAGAACCACAGAATTTTAGAATTGGAAAAGACCTCAGTAGCCATCTCATCTAACTTACACCCAAAAAGAAATCCCCACTACAACATACCCGACAAGAGGTCATCCAGCCTCTTGCTTGAAGAATTATTTTTAAATGAGCTTTTTGGGGGGGTCACTTGCCTCTTTATCCTACAAGTGGAATTCAGAAAAAAGATCCATTTAATTGCAGGTTCTAATTCATTATATTCCAGATTATCAAGTTCTTACTATGGGAAGTTTTGATTCTAAATTTAAGCGTTTCTTTTAAGTTTTCACAAACATCACTCTTCCTTCATGCTCATGCATGCACTCACCTGATAATGGGGTTTAGACCACTGCTTCAAGTCCCAATCCCAAAGAATCATCTGAAAAAAAAAAAGAAATTTCATTTAAAAATTAACAGAAATGAAAAGGCTGTAAAGGCAAAGTTTAGCTTTTTCAGCTCTAGTTATTTTTAAAAAAAATATGGAATCAAAAAGAAGTAGAGGCAAAATTATTTTCAAACAATACTTCATTAATCCACATCAGGGAAGAGGCCATGGGTTCCCCACCCCTGATCCAAATATTAGTAACTGAATAAGTGAAGAGAATTACAGAAAAAGCAAACAAATTACCAAACTGCATAGCAGGTACTGTCTGGGAAGCATTAATAGTATAAAAGCAAAACTCATAGTATTGTTATAAATAAACAAAAAATCATCACCCATCACTCACCCAGCCAGTGAACATTTGATGCCAGTGGGGGGGCGCTGCTTCCCGAGGATCCCTAAGGTGCTGCTATAAAAAGCAGTCCTCACCTAAATCAGGCCTATTTCCTGTGGTCAGATCGGGCATAACTGAGTCACCTTCTCAAAGCTGCTTTCATCCCTACTCCGTGCACAGTTAATTCTTGATTCTCCACACATGAAGGATTTATGAAAACTCTTCCATCCTCAGCTGCCCCAAATATGCTTACAAACCTGCTTTCCATCCTATTCAGTCAATGTACACTTAGGGAAGGAGGAAGAGCCTCAGAGAATTTCATATTTTTGTGGCCCACTTTTTTGGAACATATATCTCTTCCATAAAGCAAGACTGAATTGCCAAAGTGATAGAACTTTGCAAGAACTTGCAGTTAGGAAGACCCTGGTTCAAATCTCAACTCTGACCCAGTTACTAGTTGTGTGAGCAAGGGCAAATCATTTAACCTATCTGAGCCACAGGCAATTCTCTAAGAGTCTGAATTATGGATGGACGGTGATACGCCTTAGCAAAAGGAATTCCCAGACTGTGGCAGAAATCATAGATCCTTGACATACTGGCATAAATAGTAGCCACATCTCTTCCTGAATTCACTAGAACAGGACAGAACAGTGCTGCTAGAAAGGGCCTAGAAATCATCTAGTCCAGTGGTGGCAAACTCAAATAGAAAAAGGGACTAATAAGTCATACATAAGGATCCTGACAACTGCTTACTGACTTGTATTTTGTTAACTATTGCCCAATTACATTTTAATCTGATTCTGAGCTGCCTGTACAGTGTGGTCTGGGGTAGTGTTTGGCCCCTGGAGCTGGGCCAATCCCCTCCTTTTACATATGAGAGGTAACATAATTTGCCAACAGCACAGAACTCACAATTTACAAAATGTAGGATCCAAAGTAGGTCTTCTCTCCTTAAGTCTGTGGTTTTTTCTACATCATACTATCTCTTGGTATTAATTTAATGTGTTCTGTAATATTCTAATATCATTATGAACCATGATTAACACAGTAAGGGAAGGTTGTGGGGTGAATGAAACACTCTAATGCAAAGTATATGTAGCATATGTTAAATAGAGCATAAATTGTCTGATTTTTGCAAGATAAATTGGTTCTAAGAAATTCCATTTTTCTGTCATTGCTCCTTTCTATTTCAATTCAGAATGTTAGATAAGGTCCACAAAGACAGGGCCCAGATAGGTCTCAATTTGGATGGGAATCTCAAGTGGCAAGTCCAGTGCTCTGCACAGAGAAGGCCCTAAATGAACAGCTGTAAAATGGACCCGAATTTGCTACATTTTTCTAAAGAGGCTGCCATTCAGGCCTTTTTCTTTTTGTCTTTAACGTTATAAAAAATGAAAAGGGGGGAAGAGTTGCTTAAATGAAACATAAGAAGTCTTTATCAGCTTCAAAGTGAAATTCAACCATAAAGTATTTACCCTTGGGTAAAATTGTGGTAATTCTTTCTCACCTGAATTATTCCTTAACTTCTCTACTGAACCCTGACAACTAAAACATCAACAATATGGCCAACCCATACAGCTCCTCGAAGCAAGCCCAGATGTTTGTGTATGAAAAGCATTCTGAATGGTGGTGTATCATGAAGTACTAGGCCTTATGTCAGGTGCCAGGGATAAATAGCAAAGATAAAAAGGAAACCAGTCCCTATTCTCAAAAAACTTACACTCTACTTAGAGGAAACACATGTATGGGTAAATATATACAAAATATATTCAAAGGAGATACAAAGGAGAGCATGAACAACTGGGAAAGAGAGGTCTTCTGGTAGTGGGTTGTAAGAGAGATGAAAAAGAAAGAAAAATTATCAAAAAATATCAAAAATATTTAAAAAATCAAAAAATATATCAAAAAGGAAAAAATCATAAAAATGTTCAGAAAAAACAGAAACAACTTTAGAAGGAGATATAAACAGGACCATTTGATCACTACTGTACTAAATTTAACATACACTTAAAAACTGATTGTATTAACAGTTTATGATTTCATATAAAATCATCTCTTTTGTTCTTGGTATACCAAAATGTGTATCGATTAAATTCATAATGAAAAAAGAAAATTTAAATTTAAAAAAGTTCCCTAGGGTTGGTGGCACCCCTAAGCTATGCTCTGGAAGAAGCTAGGAATTCTACTAGGTGGACATGAGGGGAGAAGGTATTCCAGGCATGAGGGAGAGTCCAGATGAAGGCACAGGTGCAGCAGACAGAATGGCACAGGTGCAGCAGACAGAATGTCACATGCGGGAAACAGGCAAGTTTGGCTGGGACACAGATCATGGCAGGAAAGTTAACGTGAGATCAGCTGAGAAAGACTGATTGCAGCCCAATACCAAATGGTTTTAAATGACAGGAGTTTAGTATATCTCATTTTAAAGACATGGGGAGAGCCATTGGAGTTTACTGAGCAGGTAAATTACACAGACAAATTTGTGTTTTAGGACCATCAATTCAGCATCTGTATGAAGGATGAAATAGAAAGAGCAGACTAGAGGCAGGGGGACCAAATTAGGAGGCTACTCTAATAGCCCAGGTGCCAGGTAATGAGGAACTGACGGCCATGGTAAGAAGAGTAAAAGAAGTAAGAGATGGTGCTGAGGTAAAAGTCAGTAAGGCTTGGCAACTGACTGAATGGGGCAAATGAAGAAATGAGGATTAATCTAAGATTTCAAACCTGAGTAATGGAAAGGATGGTGGTGCCCTCAATAGAAACAGGCAAGTTAGGAAGAGGGATGAATTTTGAAGCAGGATAATGAGTTCTATTTTGCATGTCCATCGATCAATCAGCAAGCATCTTTTAAGTCGCTACTATATGCCATGAACTGCATTCAAAATTTGGTTCTTCATGTGTGACACTACTTTTAAAAATATAATTACTTTTAATGGTGTATGATATTTACCTTCAGAAAAAGGTGGCAATAAAAATTCCCTGAGAAAAGTGAATCAAATTGTTAGAGCTTTGTTAAGTGAATTTTTACAGTACAAAGAAGTATACTGTGAAACATCTGGAAAGTAACTCAAGGATTAGAAGTAGGCCAGAGCCAGACCTCTTGTGGTAGATTTTTTTTAGAGTCTAAAGACAGTACACATGGCTCTTATGATAGTGGTGCTATAAACCCTACCTATGCATAGTATTGGACTTTATCTTTTAATTCTCATATAATTGGACATTAGACACTGTGACCTCAGAAAAGTCATTTAACTTCTCTATGAGACTCTGCTTCATCTGTAAAATGAAAGAGTTAAAAAAGATGCTATCTAAGGCCTTCCAACTCTGATTCTACATTTCTAAATGTCAATGTATGTCCAGTCATCAATATTAAAACCAGCAGGTACATCTAGTATCTGAACCTAGACTTGGCCCCCACACTGTCTGCCCACATCCCATGCCAGGGGTTCCTCAGGTGCTCTGTGCTTGACTCTCAAAAGCCTACTCTCTATTCTGAACTGGGACAGACACGTGGCTCAAGGAATCTTGTGTACCACGGGACGATCACTGGCACTGTTCTGTTCAACATTTGTACCAAAGACTTCAAAGTACAGATGACTGCTTATTAGATTTTCAGATGACAGGAAGCTGGAAGAGGCAGTTAACATATGCGATGACAGAATCAGAATCCAAAAAGGATCTCAACAGGTTGGAACAGGAGCCTATACCTAATGAGATGAAATTTAACAGGGCTAAACGTAAAGTCCTGCACTTGTTTTGCAAAAAATCAACTAGACAAGCACAGACTGAGAAAGATATGGAAAGCAGATCTTTCACATGTAAAATCCCTACAAGTTCAATATGGCCCAACAACATGATGCTGTCAACCAAAAAGACTAATATGATATTGGGCTGCATTTACTGAAGTAAACTGTCCAAACCAATGGAGGTGATAGTCACAATAGACACTGTCCCCTCCCTAGTCAAACTACATTTCAGTAACATGTTCAGTCCTGGGAGTCACATTTTGAGAGGGTCAGTGCCAAGCTGAGGCCAGGTTATTCCCAGAGAAAGGTAGTCAAGATGACAAGGAGACCAGAAACCACACAGAGTTTGTTGAAAGGGGAATGTTTAACCAAAGTAAGATAAAACTAGAGGGGAAAGACAGTAGCTACTATCACGTATCTGAATGGCTATCCGAAGGAAGAAAAAGGATAAGACTAGTTTTGCTTAAAATAGGTTGGATCATCAGGAAGTGATCTTTCTATCACTAGAAGTGATCAAGCAGAAACTGTACAACTATCAGAATGCTGCTCTAAATAGTTGTGCTTCAGGTAGAAGTTGTACTAGAGGTTCACTAAGGTCCTGTACCACTGTTAAGATTCTAGGTCTCATCTTCTCCAAGAAGCCCTTCCTGGTCCTTAATCTTGGAACCTTCCTACTGAGTAGGCAATCTCCAATTTATCCTGCATATATCTAGCTTGCACACACAGTTGATTCCTCTATGTAATTGGGAGTTCCTTAAGAGCCATGGATTATTTTCTGTCTTTCCTTGAATCTCCAGGATAAAATGTATCACAGTGCCTGGCACATTGTAGGTACTTGAATGCCTGTTGATTTGATTTGACTCTGGGACACTGAATACAGGGCCAGGGTCAGAAATCATATTCTTTTCCAAAGGTTG